GTTTATGACAACATCGTTGATGAGTTTTGGGTTTGCAGTGGTCCTCCTCCTCGTCCTCCTTCCCTCTTCGTCCTCGCCCTCCTCGTTCTCGTGGTTTCCTCCTCCCCCCTGGCCTCCTCCTTTAATTCTTGGCGTCCTCTTCTTCTTGATGCTGCTGCTCCTCCTGATTAACCTCCTGCCGCATCGGTCCGCCTCCACGCGAACAGCCTGCCTCCAGCAGGGCTTGGCCCCTCAAGGAGTATACCAATATACATGTCATTCGGCGCCACCCCCTCCCCCCTCCCCCCTCCCCCCTCCTCCTGCCTGAGTGTCCGATCCCTCGCGCGCTTCGACACCACATGCTTCAGTGCCGCAGTGGGATCATCCGTATACGGTACTCCCCGCCCCCTCCCCCTTTCCCCCACCCGGATGGTGTGCCCTTCTCGCGCTTCCGACCGCCAAATGGGGGCGTTCCCAAAGGCCTCATTGAAGATGCTTGTGTTCTCGCTCTCAGCCCGCCCACGGATAGGGAGCCGATGGTTGGCATGCACATTTACGGCACACACCCCACAGCGCGCTTCGACGCTTCCATACGTTCAAGGCACCAGTTGGCACGCCCGTGTACGGTGCCCGTTCCGCTCTCTACCACCATGGTCAACCACACCTCACGAAGGCCGCGCCTCTTGCAGGAAGCCTCGTGCCCGATGCGCGCGCTGCGATGCAGTATCCCGCCCCCTCCCTCCTCTCCTTTCTCTCTCGCGCTCTCTCTCTGCCTCTCTCCCTCCCATCAGAATGGTCTGGCCCTGACGGGTTCCAGCCCCCAAGTGGGCAGAGCCCCACCCCAGGCTCCAGCTGGCACGTCCCCAGATAGTGCCGGCCACACCCGTCCTCCCCATGGTGCCGGTGGTGATTGCAGGTTCGGTCGATGACCCGATGCCCGTCCCAGACCTCTCCACGGAATTGCTGGTTTTGAAGATAGGCTTCTCTAGCCGTCAGGTGGGGGGCTTCCGTGGGAGGCGAGGGAGTCCGACGGAAGGGGACGACCCGAAATGGCAAACAGCAGAGGACGAGAAGCGAGAAAGGCGAGGACAGAACCTCCATTTCCTCCTCCCCCTCCTCCTCCTGCTGGAGAGGTCTGCCCGCCTCTCGAGCGCTCCTGGCCTGCGGGCAGCCGCACCCACTCTCTTCCCTGCGTCTCGCCGGGGCGGTCCACCTACCACGCGGTTTGGCGCTTGCCCCCCCTCCTCGAGGATCGGGGCGGACGAACATCGACAGTTACTTGAAGTTTTCGAGATCCCGGGTGCTTCCCATCAGCTGCACCTCGTCGAGAGCGTTGCGGGGGTGCCAGAATCGTCTTTGACGGCCGCTGGAGGCCCGAATGATGGTCCGACAGAAGAGATCCCCCCCCCCTTCCTCAGGGGCAGCGTCAGGGTGGGATCGGCTCAGGGGGGGATTCATCGACCCCCCATCGCCCATTGCTCGCCGATAGGGGCCCGATAGCCCGCCCGCCCCGCCCCGCCCAGGACCGTGCGGTTTCGCTATCGGGGGCTTGTCGCCGATCCATCGGCGAGTCATCGCCGACTCCAGGTCGATGTCACCCCCCCCCTCCCCTGAGCCAGCACCCCCCCCCCTGACGTTGCCCCTCACCTCCTCCCAGAAGGACCCCCCGCCCAGCTCATCAGTGGGCACGTCTGTGTAAAGGAGAAGCGCCCCAACTCTCCTTCATCCCCATGTCAGACGGGATCACAGCGCTCTCGTTTCGAGCCCTCGCTCGTGAGGGACCCCCCTCACTGAGAGCACAGAGCGAACGTCCACATACGGCGCCCCAGCGTCCCCAAGGAGGCGCCGACGGCCTCCAGAGCGCCCCTCCCGATATCCAAAGGGCCCAGTGCTCTCCGCAGCGGGGCAAAACGCCGGGGACAGTACTGGCTAGGACCCCCCCTGGTAACTTCCGACCAGAGCTCGCCGCGACAAGCCTTGCCCAGTGGCCTCATGGCCCGTGCCCACGGTCTTCGCCCACCCTCGTGCGCGCTGCCGCCACTGGCCCCATCTGGCCTCGGGCCGGCGCGAGCGGAAATCTCTGCCCGTGTCCATCCTGCTGGGGATGATGCGGCCAGCGCTGTGGGGGACGGCGCCGATTTCGGCCAGATCTGATCATCATGCGGCGACGCGATTCCTCGGCGCTCTTCCTGTCACGCGACGGGGGCGCGGGCGAACACGTCGGCCCGCGTCCACCTTGTTGGGGACGGTCTGGCGCGACGGGGTCTGATCCCAACGGGACGGTTCAGATTGTAACTTGTAAGACAACCAGAGCGTATCAGGTCCAAATGGCCAGAAACCGGGTCTGTTCAAAGTTGTTATGTCATGATTATTTTGTCAATGAAATCCGAATGGTTTCCCCTAGGGATATCCACTCGGCTTTCATAGTTCGCCGCTTGGGTCTAAACCATTCCGCTGCCCTATGATGTGCGACTTCTGAGTTATCCAGGACGTCCCCATGTAGGGTCAGCGCACACCCGGCGGCAATGCATGCGATCGTAGACGGCACGAACAGAGCATGTATGTGACACTTATACAACACGTATAAGAAAGAAGAAATATCTATATGAAGCGTCGACGAAACTTACCAGGATATTCTCAACACGTAGACCAAACGTACATGAAACGCACATGAAACGTAAACGAAACGTATTTGACACGTATATGTCACGTACGTAGATGAACAGTGTACGACATGAATGTCAAGTGCTTTAGACACGTGTGCAGAACGCACCTGGGACGCCGATGGAACGTATACGCATCGTTTCTGGAACGCATATGGCACGTATATGAAGCGCATGTGCAACGTATCCGAAACGAAAAGACAACGTATATGAAGCGCAAACGGCACGTACATGGCACGTATTTGTTACGCGCGTGTGACTCATCCAGGAAACGCATATGACATTCAGTGGCACATTCGTGATGCCGACATGGGGCGTGTACGAAGCGTATGTGGATCGTGTTCGCAACGTGTATGGAAGTGGGTACATCGCGTATATCGCACGAGCACGGGACTGATACACATCGTGTACAGGGACGTATACGAAACAGGTACATGGACGTACACGAGGCGTTTACGAAACGTAACCATAACGTATACAGCACATATAGGAAGCGCCTGCGACATGCACACGGAGTGTATACGCGACGGGTACGCAACGTGAGCAACACGTATATCAAACGAAGGCGATTCGTACCCAAACCTTTTCATAAGCGAGTACAACGCGTATCCCACACGTACTCGACATGTGTGCGGCACGACTGCGAAACGTAGGCCACACGTAATCGAAACATGGACACACCAGGTCAAGCAAGGTCATACCGCACGCATTTGACACGTATATGTTCAAGGATGCGAAGTGTATGTGTATATGGTTTAAGCAGACAGCGCGTACGCAAAGCGTATACTTTGTAAAGGCAGTGCTCCTAACGTGATTGACACATACACGAAACGTATACAACACGTGTACAACACGCATGCACAAACACATACACACATGCACCCACATATATATATATATACATATATAGATGGGAAACGTACTCAACACTTATACACAACATATACACACTGTAAGCAATCAGTGTGCGTAGCCTGCCGCACACGTCTCCAACGTGTACCCACCACGTGTTCAACACGTATACGAATGTGATCTCATCAGGCATCCTTCAAGAGTCCTTGTGGAATCCTTCAAGGATCATGAGGGATCTTCAGGGATCTGCCAGGAAGCCATCAGGAATCCTTCGGGGTCCTTCGGGAACCCCTCAAGGATCCTTCACGAGTCCTTCTGGCATCCTTCAGAAAACTTCGAAGAATTTTCAGGAATCGTCCAGGAGTCCTTCAGGAATCCTTGAAGAGTCTGCAGGGCTTGTGCAGAAAGCTGCAGGAATTCTTCAGGAATCCTCACGAATATCCAGCAATCCATCAGGACTCCCCCTTCAGGAATCCTTGACAAAAAAAAAACCCTGAAAGGAATTTACAGGAATCCATCACGAAGCCGAGTCGGAGCCGTCTATGGGGGCACCTCTAAGGCGCCGACGAAGCGCTTCAAGCGCCTGGAAGCTCAATTTTGCTCCGTTGGGATCTGAACCACTCCGATGTTCAGATCCGTTGGGGTCTGAGCCGTCCCGTTGGGACCTGAACCGTCCCGTTGGGATCTGAACCTTCTTCGGGCGGTCTGGCAGGCTCTCTGGGGGGTCGGCGCCGAATTCGGCCAGGCCTGGGGTCTCCGGAATAGCCCGAGAATGCTGCGAGCGCCGCCGCCGTGGAGTTTTCCTTCCCGCGCGCATGTTGGCTGCTGCGCACACGGGGTTCGGGGCACGCGCGCCGGTGTCATTCGGGGCTCACGTAACAGAGGTTTGCGCTGACGAGGACCAGCCAATCCCCTGTGGCTCACTCTGTTTTGGAGCCGCGTGGGGCCGATTCCCCCTTTCCGCCCTCCGCTAACCCTGGTTTGGGAGTTCTTGTATGGCCGCCTAGGCTTCGCGACAAAACCCTGGTCGACCCGGGTTGTGCTGACCCAGGTTATGCGTCCATGAGTCATACCGTTCGTCTTTGCATCCGTTGCCCCAAGTCCGTTTCTTGTTGCCCGTGCTCGCAGTTGCAGCTTCAATTTGTGCCCGTGTTTGATTTGCGGCTGTGCATGTCCACTTGTGTTCGCTCGTCACACTTAGCGCCTTCGTTTCGCTGTCTGCTTGTGCGCAGTGAAAAGCTGTACCCCGCGCATCGGACGTCGCAATTGGTATGTCGCACGTCGTGGTTGGGGTGAGTTCGCAGATGAGGTTGTGGGCGGAGGTCGAGATGTACCTCTGTCGCGCGTCAAGGCGTGCTACCCATGCAGGCTGGCATTGTAACAGCAGGCGGTTAACTATGGATGCTCGCGCGCGGCAACGAGTGCACAATGCGTTTTGGACAAATGTGCAATTTCTGCACGAATGCACGGTCAAGTGTTTGGAAGATGCGAGTTTTTTGCTCAAAGGAGTGGAGCCGTTGAGACCAAGACAATTGACCTCTTGAACTTGGCCCCTGATTCCGATGTGGAGATGCTTATCAACCAGATTGTTGCTGAGGAGAGCGTCTCGGTGTACATTCATGATGCCCTTGAGTCTGTAGCACCGGATCTTGTCGATGTTGCCTCTCTGGTTTCACTCAGATTCTGAAGCATGCATGTTTTACTATCCAGTTCCATGCCACAAGTCCCGTCACCGTGCCAGCCCTGCATTTTGGGTGGCGACTGTTCGAGGGGGCACCGGTGGCCGTCATGTGTGACATCTCGTGCCTCCCAGGAGGTTTCGGATAGCAGTAATGAGGATGATCAGGGGAGGTGAGGGGAGAGCAGGAGGAGGAGGAGGAGGAGGAGGAGGAGGAGGTCGACGAGGAAAGCCGTCACATGTGGCACCTTTCGTTTTCACTTCTTGAGAAGCTCTTGTGGAGCTTGTTTGGGCTGTCTTGTGACTGTCTCGGGTTTTATCATGTGGAGCCGTCTTGGAGGTTTCTTGGGGTCGTCTTTGGGCCCTCTTGGGCCGTCCTGGGGCCCTCTTAGGCTGTCTTGGGGCCCTCTTGCCTTCTTAGACTGTTTTGAGCCATCTTGCAGGCCACATGGAGGCATAGTAGGCCGTCTTGAGGCCATCTTGGGCCTCGTTGGGTTGGGGCAAAATTGGGCCGTCTTGGAGGCATCTTGGGCCATCTTGGAGGCCGTGGTTGCTTGCCAACCCTACTAGACAGCATGTGGCATACTACCACGCCTCAACGTGTCAGAGAGACGGTGGCGGATGACGGGAGGCGCGCATAGACTCGAAGAGTCGCGCGATGGACGTTTGTTTAGATCCGGAGGGAAATATTATCAATTGGGGGGAGTCTGAGGGGGGAGGGCTCGGGATCGCTCTCTGATCAGACCCTGGCGGATGACGGGAAGCGCGCTTAGACTCGAAGAGTCGCGCGATGGACGTTGCTCCCCAGCCCAGAGGGGAATATATTTATCAAGTGGGGGGGTCCAGGGGGGGAATGGTGACGGGGTCTTCCCCCCGCCGGGAGACGGCGGATTTAAAAAAGGAGCGTTTCGCTTAAGACATCCCCCCAAAGTCGGGATCTTGGGGGTTTTCGTTTAAGACGTTTTCTGTCACAAATGGAGATGACGGGAAGAGTTTTCGAGATACTCGAAGCGAGTTGGACGTTCTGGCTGAATATGCATTACATCTTATAAAGTTCTTACTAATGTAGGGTGGCGGATTGCACGGCGTCGAGGGCTAGCGGATGACGGGAAGCGTCTTCGAGGTACGAGAAGTGAGCTGGACGTTTCGGCTGAATCAGCATCAAGTCTAATGAAGTTCTTACTAATATAGGGTGGCAGGTTGCATCTGGCCAATTGTTGGAGGATGACGGGAAGCGCGCTAAGACTCGAAGAGTCGCGCGATGGACGTTGGTGCAGGCCCGGAGGGAATATTTTCAACTGGGGGAGTCCAGAGGGGGAAGAGGGGGAAGGGATCGGGATTGCTCCTCCGCCAAGGCCTGTCGGATGACAGGAAGCGCGCATAGACTCACTCGAAGAGTCGCGCGATGGACGTTGGTCTCGGACCGGAGGGAATATTATCAACTGGAGGGAGTCTGAGGGGGGAAGGGCTCGGGATTGCTCCGTGGGCAAGGCCTGTCGGATGACGGGAAGCGCGCTAAGACTCGAAGAGTCGCGCGATGGACGTTCTGTTGCCCAGAGGGATCTTTTTTTTTCAACCGGGGAGGTCCAGGAGGGGGAACGCGCATTGCGCACTCGTTGTCGGGGACCTGGCGGATGACGGGAAGCGCGCTAAGACTCGAAGAGTCGCGCGATGTACGTTTTTTGTTGCCCAGAGGGATTTTATCAACTGGGGGGGGTCTGGGGGGGGAACGCGCGTTGCGCACTCGTGGTCGGGGATCTGGCGGATGACGGGAAGCACGCTAAGAAGCCTCCGGGCTCAAGGTCGCTCAGGACCGCTGCTCAGCCCGCTGGGGTCGCAAGTCCCCAGCGCTCTCCGAGGACTCTCCGCAACGAGCCCTACTTTGCCGTAGAGCAGCCATGGCCGCTTCGTTGCCCAGATTCGGCGTTACTGAGTGGAGGTGAGCGTCGCCGCCATGCCGGGGGCGGCAGAACTGTCAACTCCAGGACTTGCAGACGACTCAGGAGCAGACAGGAAGTTCGGCACTGGGAGCAAGCGGTCGTATCGCAGAGCATTGCGGACGGCTGTACGGTATGGGAGGGCTCACTACCGCAACCAGTTGATCACGCGCAGCGTCGCCCTCGACCTCGACCCGACGTTGCAGACCTCCCTTCCGCCTACGACAACCACCAAGCGCTCGCGCTCCCCCAGCCGCTCGAGCCACACTGGCCCCCATGCTCAAATCACCCTCTGGTCCTACAACTGTGAGTCCCTTCGCGTGATGGGCCGATTCGCGGAGCTCCTCAAGATGGCGGCTATTCACAACGTCTCTATTGTCTGCCTCCAAGGCACGTGCATGGACGTTGGCCACCCCTGGAATACGGAGGACTACAGGCTCCTCCCACTGCCTCGATCAGATCCGCACGTTCGCGATGGCTGCCTTATCGCCATCAATCTGAAGCGCTACGCGCTGGACCACATCAGGGTAGTTCATCAGTGGATGCCTGGCCGTATCCAAGGAGCACGCGTCACGCAATCCCACGCCTCACGAGCACCTCACTATGTCAAGACCTCTACATCCTGAATGTCTACGCGCCGACGAATGAGCCACCCCCCACGCCAATGGGGCACAGCTGGACCGAGCATTCGACACAGCACTGGAAACTGCGCGACCACTTCTGGGCGCAGCTGAACAAAGTCATAAGCAGCATCCCCGCCCGCGCCACCCTGGTCCTCGCCATCGACGCCAACGGCTCTACTATGTGCAGCCTCCCGTACATAGGCAAGGCCGGAGACTACCACAAGAAGCTGAAACACTCCTGGAAGGAGAATGGCCGCCGGTTCCTCCAAATATTGACTGACAGCTGCATGACGGCGCTCAACACCCATGGCCGTGCTAGTGGGCCGGCAGGCACCTGGTTGCACTCGGACGGCAAATCTTGGACACGAGTGGACGACGTCTGCACGCGCCTTGCGGGCTGTCGTGGGCTCCGAGCCCGCCCCGACTACCGCCTCTCCGTGGCCATAGGCGGCTACCGCGATCATCGACCCATCGTTGCCACCATTCGCACTCACCCTCGGGTTCCGCGTACTCGTGCCCCACTCCCACTGCGATGGAACCGCACGCTCCTCGCTGACGACCTCGAGGCGTACGACACGCATGCCACGGAGGAGCCCACGAGACGCATTCACGCTGTGTGTGAGGCCATTCAATCAAAAATTGGAGTCAGCGGGCATCGCGGGCGACTGGCAGCAAGAGTGCGGCCCTGGTAGCAGATACCCTACAGTGAGCGAGTACTGGAACACTATCGAAGGCATCGCCGTGGACACGGCGCTGGAGTTTTACAAGCTGGACACTAAGGAGGGCACTCCGAGAATGCCCCTCACCGAGGCTACGCTGGCCCTGATTGCTAGCAAACACCTTGCAAGCTAAACTCGCCGTGCTCCCACCCGGCTTGGAGCGCGACCTCACTCAGGCGCTGCACTCGGAAGCTGCCATTAAGGTCAAACGAGCAGTCCGACGAGAGAATGCGCTCGCACCCAGTCTATGCTGGACGAAGTGGAACACACGGCGGCCCTTGGCCAGACCAGAGTATGCTTCCAGATCCTCAAGAAGCTGGCTCCCAAACCAGCGGCCCCGACGGTCACCGTCCGCAATCCTACTACCGACACCCTGTGTTGGAGTGCTGAAGAGGAGATGGACGTCCGCGCGAAGGCCCTTGCAGATATTTTTCAAGCGGCGCTCATCGAAATGACCGACGCGGGAGTGCCCCAGTCCACTGCTGCGATTGCGGACCCCTCCCAGGTTACATAATACACCACAGCCGATGTCCGGGAAGCCTTCAACAAGCTCCCGAACCATCAGGTGGGCCCTGTCTTGAAGGAGCGCCCACCAGCTACGGACGACAACCCCACAGGTGCCTCGGAGGGTGCAGTGGCAGAGAGTTGGAAGATCGCTCTAAGGTCCGACGCCATGGCCGAAGCAGTCACGGGCGCCTTCCGCGCCTGCCATTGGTGGCAATCCACGGCACAGAGATTCAAGAACGGCAAGACAGTTAGCCCCCGCAAGCCCAAGGGAGATGGTAGCTCCGCGAGGGACAAATACCGCACGATCAATCTCATCGGCCATGCAGGCAAGGCGTACGTCAACACCACCTGCATGCCAGCCCTGCGCCAGCTACATTCGAAAGTTTCTGACACGCAGTACGGGGCCCTCCCACAGCGCAGCACGAGAGACGCGATCGCCCTGGTTGATGAGATTATGCGCCGGTGGAAGGACTGCCGCAGCCTCTCCAGACAGCCGGCCCGCATCCTCGCGGCGTGCCTCATGGATTTGGAGAAGGCTTTCGACCTCCTCGACCGCCAGGCCATTTGGGCGCAACTCGAAAAGCTCGCCATCGCCCACCAGGTCAAACTGGCAGTGGAGGAGCTCGACCACGGCACGCGCTACATCATCCGCGACGTCCGCACCAATCGGCCGCTGAAGAAACTCTTAGTGGGCAAAGGCGTCCGCCAAGGGTCGGTTGAAGGCCCTGCACTTTTCATCTGCCTCTACGACGCCATCACCACAGCCATCGCGCGACGCTCCCAAGAGGCCCACTTCGAGCAGATTTACGTAGCATGCGACCCGGCCTTCTCCACCTACAAACACCACCAGCCCCCCTCGCTGAACCAGGACTGCTGCTCGGAGCTCGACGTCTCACAGGTTAAAGTTTCAGACGACCTCATCGCACTCACCATCTGTACGGACTTCGACCAGGTCAGTCGCTTCCTTGACTTCCTCACCCGGGTGATCACGGAAGGTGGCATGAAAGTCAATATTCCTAAGACGGAGCTCCTCCTACAGGCCAGGGGAGTCGGCATGCGCCAGCTCGAGAAGCGCATCCGGGCCAACACCACCGGCATCACCATGCAGCCATGCGAGCTGGTCCCGCCGACCCCGACGGAGACAGCCGCCGAGCCAGCTCGACGCCGTCGCCTGCGCACCAAGAGCCAGCCGCAGCCGCCTGGGGCATCTTCGAAGCACGGCTCGACCAGCCGCCCCGTCCTCAAGCCGCATGTGGTCAAGGCCTCCAAGTCGGTGAAATACCTGGGCGCCCGGCTACGCCCAGACGGCTCGTACCAGGACGAGATCACCAATCGCCTCGCCTCGGCCAACACCAACCATGGCCGTCTCACGGCCCGCGCGTTCAAGGGGATCTACGGCCTCGCCCCCCGCGTTTTCATTTGGGTCACCCTCGTCCGCTCTGCGGCGCTCTATACACTCGAAGTCGCCCCCCTTGACGAAGGGGAACTCAGGAGATTGGGGCGTAGGCAGACATCTAAACTCCGACATGTCCTTCGACAGCCAGCACATACTACCCACTTGACTAACTGCGAGGTCCGCCGCAAATGCCGCATTCCCACAGTCGCCAGAACGCTCTAGGAGCGCCGCATCCGCTGGTGGCAGCACATCAATGGCCCAGGCCTGGCGGAGTCCCCGCCAGAGTACGACCCCGCACTGGCAGTGCGCGCCACTATCTTCGGGCGCCTCTCTTTCGAGAGCCCCAACAGCTCGGACGCCTCCAGCAGCTCTAGCACGACATCCAGACTCTATGGAACACCCTGTCCAGCGACGAACAACTACGAGCCGCAGAGACCTACGGCCTCGACGACGTGCCGTCGGCGACACGCCCGCGGCTGCAGTGGCTCCACGCCGTCCCTCGCATCACCATCGCGCGACTACTCAGCCACGTAGCACCAACAGACGGTAACCAAACAGCAACTACGCACGAAATGCCGCTTCTCGAGTGCAACATCTGCGGCGAGATGTATAGGGGGCCAAAGGGCCTCGCCATCCACCAGAAGGAGGCGCGCGACGTCGACGCCAACCCATACTCGATTCCAGCAGATTTCTTATTGAAGCTCCAGTGCCACCGATGTCTCACTACCTTCTCTCGCAAAGACTCGCTCATCAAACGCTTCCGCCGAAACCGCTGTCGCGCAGATGAGGCCCGGCCCCAGGGAGGTGGCGGAGGAAGAGGGGAAGGAGGACGCGAGGACCCACGGCAATCGCAGGTGGGAGAGCCGCCCCAGGGATCCCAGGCCACGCCCAGTGCTCGACCAGTTCGTTCTCGCACAGCTTCTCAGGCTCAAGGTCTCCCTCAGCCTCAGGCCGCGCCCCCAGCGCCTGCGCCGGTGCCAGCTGCCCACCATGTTCGGGGAGCTCGGGGCCGCGCCTGCCGCCGCCCGCACGGACAACCGACGCCCGGCCGAGGGCGCGGACGACACCAGCGAGCTGACGAAGCTCAACAGGCTGTTTGCCCAGCTCCTGCTGCAGCACGAGGACCACAGCCGGGGCAGCCTCAGGGACCAGAGCATCGTGGCCACCACGAAGAAGGAGTCCCAGTTCTCGAAGAGCCTCGAGGCGGCCCTCCAGGACTACGACGCACGCGGCAAAACAGCCAGGGACCAGGCCAATCAGCAGAACGATACGTACACGGGGAACCCGTTGGGGAAGAAGCCCGACGCCATGCTCCGCAGCGTGGCCCACTACATCGCGGCGGCCTACCAGCAGAAGAAGCAAGAGGTCGATGCCGCAGCGGCCCAGGGCGAGAATCCAGAGAAGGCGCACGAGGCCCTGGCGAAGATCGTGGAGGCGGCGGTCAAAGCGCGGGACATGAGTAAGAGGTTCACGGGTGCCCGGTGCTTCAGGGTAGAGACTAAAGATTCCGAGGGTGCCGAGGTCCATTAGTGGATCTTCGCGTGCAACTCCATGGAAGACGTCATGCGCAGCTTTGAGACCTTGCGGGAGAACAGCTGCCTCCAGGCCGCCGCGATTGGACTGGGGCCATGCGCCGCGGAGCCAGGCTGCGAAGTCCATCGATTCCATAGTGTTCAAGGGCGGCGAGGCCAAGGGGCCTAAGCGCCGCCGGCGCTGAGAGCATGCCCCTCCGGCGGGGCGCTTTAATGGACCAGGACAGCATGGTGGCGAGTGGCAGGGATGGCCGCGCTCATGGGAGTGACCAGGGTGAACGGATGAGCGAGTACTGATTGATGCGCTCCTTCTCCTCCTCCTCCTCCTCCCCCACTTGGGGGAGAAAAAAAACAGCAAAGTGTCGCAGCGGCGCCGGTGTGCTGATTTTGGGTCGAAGATGCCTTTCCGGCGCGGGGGCGATACGTTTCCCAGGGACTTCGTATCATGCGCTATCTGTCTGGCCGGCACCCAGATTCGGTTAATGAGTTCTCTGGTGTGCGGCCGGCCGAGGGGGGGAAATTCGAAACGGTTCCTCCCTGCTCGGGGCGGGATTCGAGCGGCTGCTCGAGAGCATTTTGGATATTGTCTCACGCCGGGTAGACAGGCAGTGGCGCGGATCGGCATTACTCCTCCTCCTTCCTCCCTCCCCGCATCTTTAGTTTCCAGCTGGCCCTCTCACCCAGTCTAGCGAGCACGTCACAGGTTGTCAATTAGGCGGGAGAGTTTTCGCTAGCGGTCAGGGCGGCCACGAGGCAGCGCAGAGGCACTGCCCGTGTCGCTTCGACTGCGCGGTCGCAGAGGCGACTGCCGGCCGACGGCGTGCTGTGCGTCGGTGCGCTTCCTTTGCAAATCCGTTCAAAGCCAGTCCCATGCTCGTGCGAGTATGGCGCCGCCAGTCGGTTTGATTCTTGGTACCCCAAGCACGACCTCAGAGCACTGTGGGGTAGCGACAGCCAAAAAAGCACGCTAAGACTCGAAGAGTCGCGCGATGGACGTGTTGTTGCCCAGAGGGATTTTATCAACTGGGGGGGGTCTGGGGGGGGAACGCGCGTTGCGCACTCGTGGTCGGGGACCTGGCGGATTCCCAAAACGAGCGTTTCACTCGAGACATCCTCGCCACATCGGGAAGTTGGGGGTCGTATCTTAAGACGTATCTTGCTAACAATGGGCGTTTCGCCCGAGACATCCTCCAAACATGGAGATCTTCGGATCCTCGAAAATGGGCGTCTCGCCCGAGACAACCTCGAAAAAATGGGATGCCGAAGAAGCTCTTGTAAGGCATGTTTTCAGAGCGATTTCGGATGACCTTCAAGATGGCCCGACAAGTGAAAATGTTGAAAACCCACGTGTGTTTTAACACTTCCGTTTAACCATCCGCGTTTCGCTCGAGACATCCTCCAACAATTGCCTTCGGGCGGGTCCTCGAAGGCGAAATTATTGAAACAACCTGTGGGTTTTCAACAGGTTTGTTAAACACAGAGCGTTTCGCTCGAGACATCCTCCAACAATTGCCTTCTCCTCCTCCTCCTCCTCCTCTTCCTCCTCCTCCTCCTCCTGTCCGTCCTCCTCCTCCTCCTCCTCCTGTTCTTCCACTTCCTCCTTGTCCTCTTCCTCCTCCCGCTCCTCCTCCTCACACGCACGAGGAAGATGACACATTCCGATAAGAAAGGTTTGATTGGACATCTCCTGGTCCTTTTGAGGTTTCCCGGGCTATCCAAAATCCGATAAGGAAGGTTGGATTACATGTTCCGTGGGCCCCCTGGGGCCTGATGGCGACCCCATCCTTTTTTAAGTTAGCCATGTGATGCTGCTGCTGCTGCTGCTGCTGCTGCTGCTGCTCCTCCCCGTCCTCCTCCTCCTCCGCCTCCTCCTCCTCCCCCCCTCCCCTGGTAGTCGTCTTCGTCGTCGTCCTCCTCACGCGGGAGAGTGAGGAGGATATTCAGGAATATGCTTTTGAACGCTCGGGGGGCGCGTGTCCATACGTATCCCTTGTGAGCGTTCGGGAAGCTCGCCTATATTTCATTTGACCGCGATGATGCTGCAAGTTCTTGCGCAACTTTTCCCTTTCACGCGCTTCCTGTTCATGTCAGGGAAGGTTCCCAAACTGAGCGTTTCGCTCGAGACATCCTCGCCACATCGTGAAGTTGGGGGTCGTATCTTAAGACGTGTTTTGCTAAACATGGGCGTTTCGCCCGAGACATCCTCCAACAATGGAGATCTTGGAACCGCTCGCCTAATTTTCGGATCCTCGAACATGGGCGTTTCGCCTGAGACATCCTCGGAAAAATTGGATGCCGAAGAAGCTCTTGTAAGGCATCTTTTCGGAGCGTCCTCGGATGACCTCCAAGATTGCCCAAGAAGCGAAATGTTTGAAACACCCACGGGTTGTTTTAACCGTTTTGTTGAATAATGAGCGTTTCGCTCAAGACATCCTCCAACATTTGCCTTCGGACGGGTCCTCGAAGGCGAAATTACTGAAAAAACCCATGGGTGTTCAACAGTTTTGTTCAACACATAGCGTTTCGCTCGAGACATCCTCCAAACATGGCTTTCTCCTCCTCTCTCCCACGCACGAGGAAGATGACAAATTCCGATAAGGAAGGTTGGATTTAACATCTCATGGTTCTTCTGAGGTTTCCCGGGCTATCCAAAATCTGATAAGGAAGGTTGGATTACATGTTCCGTGGGCCCCCTGGGGCCTGATGGCGACCCCGTCCTTTTTAAAAGCTCACCATGCTACCCCGCGGTTAGAGGACAAAAACACAGGCCAAGACAGCGCGAATTCCAAAACGGAAAAATGAGGAGGATGAGGATGAAAGTTGATGGTATCGAGGACCCCCCCGAGGGCAATGTTTGTGGGGTGTCTCAAGCGAAACGCTAGTGTCTTAACAACAATGGCGAAAATCCATTGATTGTTCAATAAGTTCGCCTTCTTCGGCCATCTTGGAGTTCATCCGAGATCGCTTTGAAAACAAGCTTGAAAACAACACTTCATACACCCAAATGTTTAGAGAATGTCTCAGGCGAAACGGCCATTTCGCCCTCCGCCCCCTCCACTGATGCTGTTGCAGCTGCTGTTGCTGCTGCTGCTGCTGCTCCTCCTCCTCCTCCGCCTCCTCCTCCTCCCCCCCTCCCCTGGTAGTCGTCTTCGTCGTCGTCCTCCTAACGCGGGAGAGTGAGGCGGATACTCAGGAATATGTTTGTGAACGTTCGGGGGGCGCGTGTCCATACGTATCCTTTATGAGCATTCGGAAAGCTCGCCTATATTGCATTTGCTCGCGATGATGCTGCAAGTTCTTGCGCAACTCTTCCCTTTCACGCGCTTCCCGTTCATGTCAGGGAAGGTTCCCAAACTGAGCGTTTCGCTCGAGCCATCCTCGCCACATCGTGAAGTTGGGGGTCGTATCTTGAGACGTATTTTGCTAAACATGGGCGTTTCGCCCGAGACATCTTCCAAACATGGAGATCTGGAAATCGCTCGCCTAATTTTCGGATCCTCGGAAATGAGCGTTTCGCCTGAGACATCCTCGAAACAATGGGAATGTTGAAAGAGATGGTTGCAGACAGTTGTTCGGAGGGTCCTCGAATGACCTCCAAGATGGCCCAAGAAGCAAAAGTATTGAACAACCAATGGGTGTTTAACATTTTTGTTTAAACAATCAGCGATTCGCTCGAGATATCTCCTACAACATGCCTTCGAACGGGCCCTGTAAACCACCTGGTCTCCTCCTCATCCGCCTCCTCCTCCTCCTTTTCCTCCTCCTCCTCTTCCTCCTTCTCCTTCTCCTTCTCCTTCTCCTTCTCCTCCTCCTCTTTTTCCTCCTTTTCCTCCTCCTGTTCTTGCTTCTCCACCTCCTCCTCCTCCTCCTCCCGTTATTCCTCCTCCTTCCTCCTTCTCCGCCTCGTCCTCCTCCTCCTCCTCCTGCTCCTGTTTCTCCTCTTCCTCGTCCTCCTCCCCGTCCCCTCCTCACCCTCAGTTCCTGCTGCTGTTGCTGCTGCTGGTCCTCCTTCTCCTCCTCCCCCTCCTCCTCCTCCTCCTCCTCCTCCTCCTCCTCCTCGTCCTCCTCATTCTTCTCCTCCTCCCACGGTCGTCGTTTTCGCCGTCGGCCTCATGCGGAGGAGTGAGGAGGATCATCAGGAAGATGATTGTAAACGTTCGGGGGACGCGTGTCCATACGTATCCTTTATGAGCTTTCGGAAAGCTCGCCTATATTACATTTGCTCGCGATGGTGCTGCAAGTTCTTGCGCAACTCTTCCCTTTCACGCGCTTCCCGTTCATGTCAGGAAAGGTTCCCCATAATGACCATTTTGCCTGAGGCATCCTCATAAGATTGGGATGCTGGAGTCTATCGTTTAAGGCGTCTTATGTTAAACATGTCGATTTCGCCTGAGACATCCTCAACAAATCGGGATGTTGAAATTGACGGCGTAATTTTCGAATTTTTGGAAATGGCAGTTTAGCCAGAGACATCCTCGGCAAAGTTGGATGTACGAAGGTTTGTTTTCAAGCATCTTTTCTGAGCGATCTCGGATGATTTTCAAGATGGCCCAAGAAGGCGAAATTGCTGAAGAACCAATGGGTTTTCAACAGTTCTGTTAAACAATGGGCGTTTCGCTCGAGGCATCCTCCAAAAATTGCCTTCGGACGGGTCCTCGAAGGCGGAATTTTCGAAAAACCCATAGTGTTTCAATGGTTTTGTGAAACACAGAGCGTTTTGCTTGAGACATCCTCAAACAATTGCCTTTGGACAGGTCTTCGATACCATCAGGTTTCCTCCTCTTCCTCATCCTGTCAGCGCCACGTCTGAACTCGCGCGGGTAGTGAACTCCACCTGGTACCTTTTGTGGGCGTTCGTCTCCAGCCGACCTGTGGTATAGTTGTCTCCATCTTCGTCGTCATCGTCGTCGTCATCGTCGTCGCCGTCGTCGTATGGTAACGGTTCGGTTCAAAGGGCGACGCCGGTTCAAAACGCCACGCCGTAGAGAAGACGTTCGTAGGATATTCAGGAACAGGGTTGTCAACGTTCGGGGACCCTGCGGACGTGGACGTTCAGGGAGCTCGCCCACATTACGGTTCATCGTGATGATGCTGCACGTTCTTGCACAGTTCTTCTCTTTTACGCGCTTCCCGTCCATGTCAGGAAAGGTGACCCAGAATGGCCATTTCGCCTGAGACATCTTCGCAAAATTAAGAAATTGGGGTTCGTATCTTAAGACGTATTTTACTAAACATGAGCCTTTCGCTCGAGAAATCTTCGGAACTGCTGAAATCGTGGGTCGAATTCGCGGACCTCCAAAAATGGGCGTTTCGCTAGAGACATCCTCGAAAAAATGGGATGCGCCAAGAGCTCTTGTAAGGCATCTTTTCGGAGCGGTCTCGGATGACCTCCAAGACGGCCCAAGAAACGGAATTTTTGAAAAACTACTGGTTTTATCAGTTTTTGTTAATATCAGAGCGTTTTGCTCGAGACATCCTCCAACAATTGCATTCGGACGGGTCCTCGAAAGCGAAATGATTGAAAAACCCATGGGTTTTCAAAAGCAATTTTGTTGAAACAAAGCGTTTCGCTCGAGACATCCTCCGAAAATCTTCTCCTGTCAGCGCCACGTCTGAACTCGCGCGGAAAGTGAACTCAACCTGATATTTTTTGTGGGCGTTCGGGGTCAGCGCGACGTCTAAACTCGCGCGGGTAGTGACCTCCACCTGGTATCTTTTGTAGACGTTCGTGGTGAGCGGTGACTGAAGTTGCGCGGATGGTGAATTCCATTTGGTATCTTTTGTGAACGTTCGGGGTGAGCGGCACGTCGGAATCAGCGCGGATCGTGAATTCCATCTGGTTCTTTTTGCGGACGTTCGGGGTCAGCAGCACGTCTGAACTTGCGCGGATAGCGGAGTCCACTTGGTACCCCTTGTAGACGTTCGGGAAGAGCGCCTACGCGACATGCGAACTTGATGTTGGTGCACGTTCTTGCCAAGCTCTTTGATTTCACGCGCTTCCCATTCATGTCAAGAAAGGTTCCCTCAAAAAGCGATTTCGATCGAGACATCGCGTTTCGCTCGAGACATCAAGTGATCGCCTCGAAATCCATTCATCTATAAGAAACTGCGTCTCGCCTGAGAAATCCTCACCGAAATGACATGTCTCCGGAGGTGTCTTACTGCCGCTTACGTTGAAAACGGCGTTTTCGCTAGGGACGTCCTCAGAAAATGCTCGGCAGCACGGCGGACCAAAAAAAAGAGCACGGCAGAAAAATTGCATGCATCTCGTTGGGGGCATCTTCAACAAGAATGAGATGTTCTCAACATCGTCTTGACATTGTTCTTGAAGTGTCTCAAGAGGAAGAATTGAGAGGCCCAAGGGGTCCTCAAGATGGATCTCCGAGCGCCTGGGAGTCTGCCGAAAATGACGCATCCTCAACAAATGAAGAAATACAACAGCATCGTTTTGAAATCTGCTGCTCTAACCTTGTCTTGGGATCGCTCTTGCAAAGGCTTCCAGACGGCCCAAACCAGGCTTCTAATGATGGCGATTTTGCGAGGGACATCCTCAAAACAATGATGCGTGTGACATCGCATTGGCATGTTTTTGATGGCGTCGAGGCAGCCTCAAACGAGCCCCACATGAGGCCCAATATGACCCCCGGAGCGCCCTCGAGATTCCTCAAATTTAGCATTTTGCTCAAGACATCCTCACCAACATGAGTCGTTCACAACACCGTCAAGCATGTCGCTTGAGACATCCACCAGAAAATGAAAATCGCGAATTGAGCAGACGTATAGAAATGGGGATGTCGCCGGAGACATGCTCGAAAAATGAAATGCTGAAAAGGATAATGTAAGACCATGCGTGTTACAACTGAGCTTTGCTCCTGAGACATCTTCAGAAAATGAGCAGGATCACGGCAGCCCAACACGCAGAAGCACGGCAGAACGCGCGAGAGGACGACATAACACACATGAGCACGGCAGAACACACAGGATCACGGCAGAACCCAAAGAACACACGGGAGCACGGCAAAACAAACAGGAGCACAACAAAACACATAGGAGCACAGCAGAACACACACGAGCACGAAGAGCACGGCAGAACACACACACAGGTGCACTGCAGAACACGCAGGTGCACGGCAGAACACACAGAACACAGAACATACAGGAACACGGCAGAACACACAGGAGCACGGCAGATCACACAGGAACACGGCAAAACACACAGGAGCAGGAGGAGCACGGCAGAGCACGGCAGAGCAAGCAGGAACACGGCAGAACATCCGTAGCCATTTTGGCTCAAGGCCATGGAGCACCCGACGACCGCAAGTCGTCCGCGGCGTTCCGAGCGCGAGGGTCTCCTCGCTTTGGGCCAGTGCATTTCCTTGTTGTGCTCTCTGCCTTCGCGGCGCGGAGGAGCGACCTGCCAGCCAGCGCGGCCTGGGCCATGGCGCGCTCCCCGCGGGGTGGCGGCAGCGGCAGCAGGCGCAGCAGGAAGTACTGGATGTGCAGCTGCGGAGGGTGGAACTGGGACTGGCGCACCACGTGCCTTGGCTGTGGGTACGCAGCTCCGCCATGGGCCCTGGAAGCAGCAGCCAAGGCCAAGCCCCAGGCTGACAAGGACGGCTGGGTGGACCAGCCGCGCGGGCGACGTGCCCAACGACAGGCCCGCAGCGCGGCTACGAGTGCGGCAACCTCCAAGTCGCAGACCTCGGCGTCGGGAGCCAGCGGGACGCCCCGCGGCAGCGACGCCACGGCGATCGAGAGGCTGCAAGTGTCGGTCGAGCAGCTGGAGGCGCTGCAGGCAGGGCCGCCCGACGGGGTCGATTGCTGCTTCACCGACGTCGTTGCCAGCCAGCTGGAGGCCAAGCGCGCAGAGCTGGCTGAGGCCCAGCGCGCGGGAGCAGTGCAGAAGGCGCCCTCCATGCCCCTGTCGGCGGTGCTCCACAAGGAGGCGAACGCCATCAGCAACGCAGAGAAGCGCCTCCGAGCGGCGCGCCAGGGCCTGGAGCAGAAGCAAGCAGCACGTGGCACTGCCGAGGCCCAGCTGCAGAAGGCCCAGGAGGGGCTGGCGCAGCTCGATGCGGAGGTGGAGGAGGCCAGCCGTGCGCTCCACGTCCTCGAGGAGGAAGCCCGAGTGGAGGCCGCTGCGCAGCTGCGCCAGCGTGCAGCCGAGTGGGCAGGAGCCAGCCAGGTCCCAGGGCTCCTCATGCAGCTGGACAAGCTGCCCGAGGCGCGGGGCTCCAGCAACTTCGAAGTGGCATGGGCGGCCATTCGCTCCCAGGTGGAGGCGGTGCGTGCGCAGCTCGCCGAAGCCCCTGCGGCCCCGAGGACAGTGCCCTGGGCGGAGTCATGCTCCATGGATGAGATCGACAGTGAGGACGGCGACCGCGCAGGAGGCTGCAGGCCTTGGCAGCCGCAGTGCGCCGCGGAGCGCGGCTAGGCCGAACGTCGAGGCGACGCCAACGGCGAGTGGCCGAAGGTCGCCCAGGCGTGCAAGCGGGAGCTGGCGGCCGAGGCTGAGGACCTGGCCCCTCTTGCTGCTCGCCCTGCTGGCCGCGCCGCTGAGAGTCGCGGCGGAGGAGAGAGGCCGCGGCAGTCGTGCGCGCAGCCACGCCAGTGGCGCCAGGCCTAGGCAGCGGGAGGGCGGCGGCGCCGAAGCGGCCCGCCTCGGCGGCAAGCGGGCCCTCGCCCTCGGGAGTGCGCAGGCCCCGCCAGCGCCAGGCCAAGCCGCGACGGCAGCTCAGGATGTCCGCTGCGGGCTGGAGGAGACCCGCCTGGCTCCGCACCGCCTGGAAGAGGCCAGAGGAGCAGTGCTGCGCTTGGGCTTTTCGGCGTTCCTCCATGCGCCGGCGCCCGCGGACAAGGAGGGCCCGCTGGCGAACTCAGGGGGCGCGGCGACCCTGGCGCGCAGCGACCTGCAGGCTGCGGAGAGTGTGTGGGCGACGCCGAGTGACTTGAGGCATCGCTTGGTTGGGGTCACGATCACGGCGTCTGGGCTGCTTGTCCTGGCGCGCTCGCTGCATCTGCAGGACGCCCTGGGGCCCAAGGGCATCAACCTCGACATCTTCGCGGCCTTCGGCGACCCGGTGCTGTCCGAGGGCATGCCCTGGCTCGCGCAGGGCGACTTCAACGTGGAGCCTGGCGCGCTGCACGATTTGGGCTGGCCTCGTGCGCAGCGCGGCACGTACCTGGGGCCTGCTAAGTGCACATGTGTGGCCAAAGGGGCAGAGCATGTGTACAACTGGTTCGAGGGCTCCTTTTGCTTGGCCCATGGCGTCAGGGAGGCCTCGGCTCTGGATGGCTTTGGGCTGTGCCCGCGCAAGCTTGTGTGGCTGCTGCTGCAGGACGCGAGGCCCGACGCCCTGGTGCAGGTACTGGTGCGTCCTGGTCGTTTTCCTGGTGTCGACGCTGTTGGGTGCGATGTGACGCTGCTGGTATTCTACCAGAGACCGCGGGCCGTTTCCGTCGTGGGCCTGGCCGCCGAGTCGTTCTGCACCAACGGGACAGTTCTGGCGGGGAGTGCGTGCGCCACCTTTGTGGCCAGGCTGCCTGGGCTGGCAGCCCTCCGCGCCGCCTCAGCGGGCAGCAGGCCGCTGGTGGGCACTCGCACCGTCGTCGGCGACATCGCGATGCAGGCCGTGGGCACGGAGCAGCTGGTGGCTGCACGGCTCGGCAGCGCTGGGCTGGAAGTGGCGCGTCGCCTCCGTGTCCAGCACCCCCCCCATCGGCGCTGCTCAGTCGACCCTCCTCGCTTCGCGCCCCAGCCTTGGGCGCCAGCTCGGGGTGCGCAGGAAGTCGCAAGGCTGGCCCTTCCGCAAGACCTTGCAGGCCAAGAACATAGGCACGGACGCCGCCAACGAGAGGAGAGGAGTGCATGAGGGGCGAGTTCGAGCTGCAGGAGCGCTTCGCCGAGCTCGCAGGCTGGACCCGATCTGCAAGGCTGGGCCCACGGCCAGCCTGGTGCGCGGTCGCACGGTCACGGGCAACGCGGACGGTGAGCCGCGCAGATGGAGGGTTGCGGCCTGCCGCAGCGCAGGAGCGCTCCCCATGGGCGCGGAGCGAGGGCTGCAGCCCTCACGGTTGGCCACGCAGTCCAGATGATGGCGGAGCTGCTGCAGACAGGCGAACTGCCGCCCAGGATGATGGGGCGGGGGCTGGAGGCGGCGGCGACCAGGCGCGCAAGAGCTAACACGCCATGGAAGCACTGCCCCCCCCCCCTTCGACACGGTGGTGCTGTCCCGTGCGCGGATCGGCTGGCACTTCAAGTCCGAGCGGTGCATGGTCACGAGCTCTCGCGATGAGCTCGACCTCGCGCACCTCGGGTCTCGGGAGCTGGGCTTGGGGGCTGGCCTTGGCGCTCGGTGTGCATCCGCCCGTCGCGTGACGCGGGAGCTCAGCCACGACGCCCGCCTGCAGCGGCCACTGCGCTGGGACGCCATCGGGCGCCAGCTAGTGCTAGACGGCGGGCCCTGAGTGAGGGAACAGATCGTGCTCGGGGCCTGCATCGCCAACACGCACTGGACGCAGGCCGCGCTCTTCGAGGCATGTGAACAAGGACATGCGCGCTGCGGCTGCTGCGGAGCAGAGAGAGACACCTTGTGGCACCGCCTGTTCGGCTGCTCCGTGCTCGAGGCCCAGTGGCGCGACGGAGTGTCGGCGCGGCAGAAGCAGGGTGCAGAGCGAGCGCGGGCCCTAGGCGGGCGCGCAGGCGACGGCTTCGGCCGCTGCTGGCTGCCCACACCAGGGCCACCGCAGGGTCGCCGCAACGACGCCATTTGGGTGCAATGCGTTGGCAGGCCAGCTGGTAAGCTCAACGGCAAGCTGTACCTCGATGGCTCGGTGCTCGAGCCGCAGTTCGGCGCCTTCCGCTGTGAGGGCTGGGCCTTTGCGCAGTGCGACGACGACGGCAACCTGGAGGAAGGGGTCTACCGCACCGTCTGGCGCGACCGCTGCCCGCAGCAGACGGCCAAGGACGGCGAGGACATTGCAGCCTGGATGCGGCCACGCTCGGAGAGTGGCCGCTCTACAGGCAGCAGCTCGGCTGCCCTCTCGGCCAGTGCAGTCGCCTTCAGCATCCTGGGACATGCCCTGTCCTACGCCTGCGCTGGGGAAGGGGGGGGGCACCCAGGAGCTCGTGGCATGCTCCAAGTGCGGCGCCTACATGACGCTGGGCGGCCGCTTAGGGGTTAGGCCTCGCCTTCAGGGGCGCTGCCCAGGTGACAAGACCGACAAGGGCGGCAGGAACCAGCGCAGCCTCTGGCAACGAGGACTCCATCCTGGAGGCAGGAGGCAGGAGGGGTCGCGGACTGCCAGGCACAGAGTGAAAGGAGAGGGCATCCCAGCGCTGCGCTCGCAGGGTCCAGTGCCTGAGGAAGCGCAGGAGCGGTGCCTGGAGTGGCTTGGCACTGCAGCGGAGCCAGCTGCAGACACTGCGGCCACTGCGAGCAGTACAGGCAACGCCCCAGCGGCGGCAGCGGAGCCGCAAGTGGCCGCGGGCCCTGGTGGAGCCCCAGCGGATGCGGCAGCCGCTGCGGCCGCTGCCAGCCTGCCTCTGCGGCGCCCAGCCGCAGCGAGAGCAGGGCGACTCGGAGCGCGCGGGGTCAGCGAGGAGGGCCCCTCCGCCGCAGCCGGCCCTGCAGGCGGCGCCCAGGTTTGCCGCGGGGCGCGCCGCCGCATGGAGCGCCGTGGCGGCCCCACCGTGACTGAGTGAGTGAAGGATTGCATCGCTGCGGCTCGCGCCAGCTGCTCCATTGGGAGCAGGCTTCCGCCGCCCTCGGTGCCTTGTTGGGCGCGGCGTCTCTCGGGAGCGCGGGCCCTGTCCGGCCCTGTCCGTGTTTTCCTTTTTGCCTTTAAGGCCCCGTCTTCAACTTCAACTTCAGCACGGCAGAACACACAAAACACATCCGTAGCCATTTTGGCTCAAGCCGCGATCGGGCGCGCGCCGCGCGCGGGCGCTTGGGCAGAATGGTGCGGGAGGTGCTCACCGGTGTCGCGGCGGCCCGCTGGGCGGCAGACAACCTGGTGAGACGGCTTGACAGGGAGCTGCGGGAGGCGAAGGAAGTCATCGCCAGCCTCCAGGCGCAGCTGGAGCGCGGATCGCGCGGCGACGCCGCGGAGGCGGAGCCATCGCCCGGCCCGCCTTGGTTGCGCGCGTCCGCGGACGCCGCGAAAACCAGGGCGCAGCGGCAGCGGCGGAACGTCGCGTGGCATGCCGAGCGCTGCCCGTCGGCAGACGCCCCGCCGCAGGAATGGCGCAGGGCTCAACGCGGGCCGCGCCTCCCAGGAGGGCCCCTTCCTGGTGATGGGCGCGGCGGTGCGGCGCAGAGTGCCATCGTGTGTGAGGTGGAAACCTGCGTCTGCGAAGTGCAGCCGCCGATTGAGTCCGCATTGGATGCTTGCGTCGCCGAGGCGCCAGCGCGGCTGCCCAGCGCCCGAGTGGCGGCCGCGCTGCTGGAGGATCTCGGCGCGGCGCAGCTGGCCGAGCAGGGCGGCGCCGAGGGCGGCGCCGAGAGCACCGAGGCGGAGGAGATCATCGCGGAGTTGGTCTGCGAGGCCGAGGGGGATCGCGCTGCTGAGGGGCGCTGCCAGGCGTGGCGGCCGCGGCGGAGCGGGGGCAGCCTAGAGGGGGACTCGGAGTTCGAGGGGGATTCAGAGTTCGAGGATCTCGGGTCCGAGCACGGGCAGTTCCTGCGCGACGAGTTCTCGGACGGCAGCGAGCTGGCCGCGGGGTGCGAGCTGGCGCGCGCTGCGCGGCTGGAGCGCTCGGGCTCCAGGCGCGGCGGTGGAAGCGAGCCCGAGGAGGAGCACGGCGCGTTAGCGCTCGCGGCCGACGGCTCCGAGGCAGGCCCCGAGGAGCTGCGCGAGTCCGAGGGGAGCAACGCGGTGCCCGTGCCGTGCGGGCTGCGCGGCGACAGGCGTGCCATCGAGCCGAGCGGGGCCGATCCTGTCGGGCTGGGGCAGGAGTGTGAGAGGAGCAAGCGGGTATCCTTCGCTCCGTGGCCCGACGTCGTCGGCTTGGAGGTGGGGGCCCTGGGAGGCGCGCTCGGTGTGTCTGGGATCCTTCTGCATGGCCCTGCCCCTCCGTGGTAGGACCCCGCGTGGACGTGCCATGCGAAGGCCGTCGACCTGATGCGCCTCTGCGAGTGCGAGAGGTTCGGCATCTCCGTGAGGCCTCGTCGGCGACCCGCCTGGCGTGCGCGGTTCGCCGAGAGGGCCCTGGCTGGTGCAGGCCCATCCGCCAGGCATGTCCGTGGGGAGGGCCCTCGAGCTCGAGCTGTTCATTCGGGCGTGCAAACCGAGCGGCGTCGGGGCGCTTGACGGAGGCGCGAAGCACCGCGCGAAGGAGACGCCGCGGCCGCCGTCCGCGGCCGTCGTGGAGGCGCCCGTGGGAGGCGCGGCCATCGAGCGCGCCGTCGGCGTGGAGCCGCCCCTGGTCGCAGACAGCGGCGACTGCACCGCGGGCGATGGCCACTCGAGCTCGGAGGGCGTATTCGTTTCGTTCCTGGACGGCTTCTCGATGGCGGCGGTGGCGTGTGCGGCCAGGGGGCCGAAGTCGGGAGTTGGGTCACTCCTGGACTTGGCCGAGGCCCGCGCCCTCGGCGTCCGCCTCGGAAGTGCAGGTTGTCCAGATGCCGAGGAGCGTCTGCGGCCCCATCGATGATTCTTTGGTCCGCGCGCGTTGCACGACGCGGCCCAAGAGTGAACAGTGAGGCGGGCAGCTGCATTCTGCATGTAGTTCTGCTCTCGCCTGTGGTGCCGCGCGGTGGTGGCCCAGTGCGGCCCCCGCGGCGAGAGGCGGCCCTAGGCGGCCCCTCTCGGGAGGGCGTGTCTCGGGTGGCGCTCGGTGCCCCTGGAGGCCCCATCGGTCCTTTTCTTTGCCTGTATGGCCCCACAACTACAACTGCAACTACAACATACAAAACACATGGGAGCATGGCAGGACAAGGAGGAGCGCGGCAGAACACGCAGGAGCACGGCACTACACATAGGAGCATTGCAGAACACACAGGTGCACGGCAGAATGAACGGCAGAATGCGCAGGAGCACGGCAGAACGAACAGGAGCACGGCAGAACACGCAGGATCACGAGGAGCACGGCCGAACACACAGAGTACATAAGAACAGTGCCGCAGACCACCACGCACGGACACACATGCACATATTCCACGCACGCACGCGCACAAGCAAGCGCACGCACGCCACGACAGACTTGCGCAGCGCATGCTAAGAACGTCGGATATCTAATTAACCCAGGACACAAAAGGACGCTTCCCGTTCTGGTCCGGTCAGGTTTCGCCTGGGACAACCTCCAAATTGCTCGCCTAATTTTCGGAGCCTCGAAAATGGGCGTTTCGCCTGAGACATCCTCGAACAATGGGATGCCGAAATAGCTCGTGTAAGGCATCTTTTCGGAGCGATCTCGGATATTCTCCAAGATGGCCCAAGAAGCGAAATGATTGAAAAGGCGTTTCGCTCGAGACATCCTCCAAACACTGCATGTGGAAGGGTCCTCGAAGGCGAAATGATTGAAAAACCGATAGGGTTTTCAAGAGTTTTGTTAAACACAGAGCGCTTCGCTCGAGCCATCCTCCAAACATTGCCTTCGGACGGGTCCTCGATACCATCAGGTTTCCTCCTCCTTTTCTTCTTCTTCTTCTTCTGTCGGCGCCACGTCTGAACTCGCGCGGGTAGTGAACTCCACCTGGTATTTTTTGTGGGCAGTTTTCTCCAGCCGACCTGTGGTATATTTGTCTCCCTCATCTTCGTCATCGTCATCGTCGTCATCGTCGTCGCCGTGGTCGCATGATAAGAGTTCGGTTCAAAGGGCGACACCAGTTCAAAACGCCACGCCGTAGAGAAAACGTTCGTAGGATACTTGCGAACAGGGTTGTCAACTTACGGGGAGCGCGCGTCCATAGCTATCCCTTGTGGACGTTCGGGGAGCTCGCCCACATTACGGCTCATCGTGATGATGCACGTTTCTGCACAGCTCTTTTCTTTCACGCGCTTCCCGTTCATGTCAGGAGAGGTTCCCCAGAATGGCCAATTCCTCTGAGACATCCTCGCCAAATCGTCAAGTTGGGGGTCGTATCTTAAGACGTCGTTTGCTAACAATGAGCGTTTCGCTCGAGAGATCCTCGGACAGTGGGGGTGTTGAAATCGTTGCTCTAATTCGCGGACCTCCAAAAATGGGCGTTTCGCCTGAGGCATCCTCGAAAAAATGGGATGGGCCAAGAGCTCTTGTAAGGCATCTTTTCGGACGATTTCGGATGACCTCCAAGATGGCCCAAGATGCGAAATGATTGAGAAAACCATGGGTGTTTTAACAGTTTCGTTAAGTTCCGAACATTTCGCTCGAGACATCCTCGAGCAATTGCATTCGGACGGGTCCTCAAAGGCGAAATCATTGAAAAACCATGGGTGTTCAACAGTTTTGTTAAACACAGAGCGTTTCGCTCGAGACATCTTCCAACAATTACCTTCTCCTCCGCCTCCTCCTCCTGCTCCTTGTCCTCCTCATGTTCTTCCTCCGCCTCCTCTTCCTCCTTCTTCTCCTGTCAGCGCCACGTCTGAACTCGCGCGGTTTGTAAACTCCACCTGATATATTTTGTCGGCGTTCGGGGTCAGCGCGACGACTAAACTCGTGCGGGTAGTGAATTTCACCTGGTATTTTTTGTGGACGTTCGCGGTGAGCGGAGACAGACGTTGCGCGGATGGCGGATTCCATTTGGTATCCTGTGTGCACGTTTGAGCAGCGCGTCGGAATCTGCGCGGATCGTGAATTCCATTTGGTTCTTTTTGCGGACGTTCGGGGTCAGCGGCACGTCTGAACTTGCGCAGATAGCGGAGTCCACCTGGTACACCATGTGGACGTTCGGGAAGAGCGCCTACGCGACATGCGAAATTGATATTGGTGCACGTTCTTGCCAAGCTCTTTGATTTCACGCGCTTCCCGTTCATGTCAAGAAAGTTTTTCGGAGCAGCGGTTACAGTCAGGATTGATACGAATTAACACCCACAGCGCGTTCGAAAGGAGTGAGAAGGTTTTGCTGAGGGGATTTCTTAAGGCTCAGGTCGAACAGGAAGCTCAAATTGAACCCGCGGCCATCGTATCTGTCCAAGGAGGCGACGAGTTTGATAATGCCTGGCCAGCCTAAGGACAGCGGCAGGTTATGCGATCAATGTGTTCACTAGTTATGATATTTCGCCGCACGTGCCTGCGAGGAGCCGCTCATTTCCGCTGGCAAGAAGGATACGCTCAGGAAGATGATCTATAAGTGCCTCTTGTCTCCTCTGCGCTCCGAACATCACTCGGAATTTGTCGGTGTATCGTTTTCTTTGATAGTTGGCGTGACTCCCTCGAATCGCCTCCCGCATCTCCCCGCTTCCCTGGCCGGAGCAGTTGGATGCGAGCTCATGTCTACAGCCCTTGTTTCTTACAGCCTGCTGGTTTAGTGCTCATCGTCCTGTGTTGTTCCTCACCGTCCATGTGCTCATCCGCTTCCTCCTTTGATTGTATCATATTGGCCGCTGCGTCTCCTGTCCACCAGGTTGGGGTCATTCTCATCTGGCGCTGGGCATCATGCCTTTCACGTGTGCTGCACCCGCATATGTGTTGCTTGCTTCGAGCTGGTCTGTGGGAGGCACTTGTTTCTCCAGGAGTGTTGTTTTTGCTGTACGGCAGCTTTGGTGTTCGCAGGCTGTCGGCCCCAGACGAGGAAGGGGAGGAGGAGGAGGAGGAGGAGAAGGAGGAGGTTTAGTTTTTGAGTTGTTTCTTACCTTTGTCATTCATGGGGCAACGGGCTGCGGGCTTCCAGAGCTATTCCGCAAGAGACCAGTGAGGCTCATCGACAAGATAGACAACAAGGAGCAGCAGCGCTTCTACTTGTGGGGATGGGATGGGCAGGGGGAAGATAATGAGGAGGAATCGATGGCACACTCGCGGAGGGTAAAGAAGAGCACGAGGAGGAGGAGGAGACATAAGAGAATCATGAGTATGAGGAGTAGGGTGGGGATAGAGCAGGGGAAAGTGGGAGCGGGAGTAGAGTTGGACAGATCGAGCGGGTCAGCGAATCCCGCCCACACCCACCCTCCTTCCCATGACATTGGAACCACCAGCGTCGACACAACACAACGATTAGCCATCTGCAAGGTCAGGACGAGTCGGAAACGGCAAGGGAGGAGGATGGGGAGTGGGAGGGGGAGTCTTTCCGCCTGCCCGCCTGTCCCTCCCCTCTCCCCATTCTCCCCAGCCGCCATTTACCATTCGCATTCGATCGCTCTGGTACAGTCGTGTGCGGAAGCGGGTGCAAACCGCACCACGGGACGAAAAGCAGAATGCTGCTCAAATCTGAGCAACACCGTAACACCAGTCGCACAGTGATTCCTCATTGGTGTCGGGTTACACGATGGGTGCCTCGAGTAGAGTCGACTAGGCGCTACTTTCAGCACGCTCTTAGCATACAGCAATGTGTGTTGAGTGTTGCGACGCGCCACGCGTGTATCTATAGACGCAATTCCAATGTTGTAGATGCCACGGAGGAGCACACGCAAGGGGTAAAGTGTGAACGCCACGCTCAGTGCAGGTACGAGGCAAGCGAGTATCAGTATGGCAACTGCCCCTGTCTCCCCTCCCTCCCTCCCCCTCCTCCCTCCTTCCCCCCTCCCCTCTCCTCCCTCCTCTCTCTGTTCTATCTTCCGTTCTTCTTCCTCCACACTCCCTCATCCCTCGATCCTCCCTGCCACCCTCCCTGCAACCCTCTTCTCTCCTCTTCTCCGCCCTCCTACATCTCGCCCTCACCTCTTACCCCTTCCCCCATCTCTTTTACCCTCCCAGGGGAAAATATGATCGAGTATTTGGGGAGGTTCAAGATTCTTCGCGCGCACATCCTCCCGCTGACGAACTGTGCCTTCAACAAGTCGGGCTCAAAGTTTATCACCGGAGGGGGGGGTGCACATGGTGTCGACGGCTTCCGCATCGAGGATGAGGCCCCCTCTGCTCCTCGCCCTTGTCGTGGTCGTCGTGGTCGTGGTCGTGGTCGTGGACGTCCTCGTCGTCCTCTTCCTTTGACTCTTCCTCATACTCCCGTTCGTGGCAAGAGGCGTGGGAGGATGTCGAGGATGGGCTCCTGTGACGTCCGACCAGATCCAAAAGAGGGGCCCCTCGTCGAGGGAGCGACGCGGGTTTAGCTCCATGTTCTCGGCGGACGCCGGCGGAAGCCCGCTGCCTGAGCTCACGTGGCCAGACAGTCCCTGACATCCGAGGCCGCCCAAAAATGATCCTGGCGAAGGACCCAACCATTTGCAGTTATGAATACCGCGTTGTGGCGCCGCTTTCGGTGGAGCTCCCTGTGGGGCCAAGAATTGTGTGAGGGGTGCGCTGAAATGGGGCGGCGCCGCCATTTGAGCCCTGACAGGGGCCTTCGGTGGAGCTCCCTATGGGACCACGAAGCGCTGTACTGGGTGTGCCGAAACAGAGACGTGCGGAGGGCAGAGGCCAGGAGGGGGAGGAGGGAGGAGGGGGAGGAGGAGGAGGAGGAGGAGGAGGAGGAGGAGGAGGAGGAGGAGGAGGAGGGGGAGGAGGTGAGCAGAGGAGGAGACGCGGGGCGCTCTCTCCAAAACGAGAACCCAACACCACAGGATGGTTTGGGAATAGCGAGCATCGCTTCCGGGGTTCAAGTGGGCGGGACAGGGTCGGCGCTCGAGAAAGGGCCTCGCCTTCTGGGGCCGAAGGAGCTGCCATCTCTCCCGCGACGGACGGCCCGCGGACGCCCGCGGAAGTAAATCGGGGGCGGCTCCGCCTACGGAAGCGGGCGGATGGCCTGCGGAAGTAGTAGGGTGCACCCCCAGGGGATGCCTTTTTCTGTGATCCAGGGTTTCCGGAGTCGTCAATTGGCTCATTCTCCGCCCATTTTCCTGCTTCCCCTCCCCCTCTTCCTCCTTCTCATCCTTGCCCCCCAAGCCTTGTTCCCTCCTCCTCCTCCTCCTCCAGATTTCACTTGCCCCGCTTGCCGCTTTCCCCAATATCCGCAATATCTCGTCGTTTCGAAAAAGAAAAAACACCGACGTCCTCGGCCCCATCTCCATGCGGGATCCTTCGAATTGTATCGGTCCGTCCTTGAAGGTCTGGTTGTTGTTCACGACTCATGGATGTGAGGTCTCAAGAGCCCCCAGCGGGCCAACCCCCCTGAGGCTTTCTCAAGCCCAAGAAGAGCAGAACACGTCCGAAGCACTTCGATCTCCGATCCAGAGACACACGGTCCGAAAACTTTCAAAATGGAGGAGCAAGCGTCCAGCGCTCTTCGACGACGGTACTGTCTCAATGCTGCGGCACAACTGCTAGGCTCTCACCCAACTCTGCGGAAAGGGCGATGCAAACTCGGGTGCTGAGCACTCTGGTCTAGGACGGCCACGAAGTTTTCCGTTTCATGCGGCGCTTCGTTGGCAAGACGCACAGTAGCAATCCCAGCAGCCCCCCGCATCTCCAACCAACCGATCACAACCTCGAAACGGCCCGACACCTTTTTCACACAATGCCAAACTCGCCAAGCTACAGACAGATTGCCTGCCGCACGAGAGGGGCATGAGACAAGAGGCATGGGGGGGCAAATGATGATGAGGAGGAGGTGGAGGAGAAGGAGGATGAGGGGCAGGAGTAGTAGAAGTAGTAGTAGTAGTAACATTAGTAATAGCAGTAGTAGTAGTAGTAGTAGTAGTAGTAGTAGTCGTCGTCGTCGTCGTCGTCGTCGTCGTCGTCGTCGTCGTCGTCGTCGTCGTCGTCGTCGTCGTCGTCGTCGTCGTCGTTGTCGTCGTCGTCGTCGTCGTCGTATTAGTAGTCGTAGTAGTAGTAGTAGTAGTAGTAGTAGTAGTAGTAGTAGTAGTAGTAGTAGTAGTAGTAGTAGTAGTAGTAGTAGTGGTAGTAGTAGTAGTAGTAGTAGTAGTAGTCGTAGTAGTAGTGGTAGTAGTAGTAGTAGTAGTAGTAGTAGTAGTTAGTCGTAGTAGTAGTAGTAGTAGTAGTAGTAGTAGTAGTAGTAGTAGTAGTAGTAGTAGTATGAGTAGAAGTAGTAGTAGGAGTAGGAGTCGGAGTCGGAGTAGGAGTAG